AAATGTACCAGTTGTTGATTTACATGGTCACATATATATGACTTCCCTCCATTTACTTAATATGAAAAGGCAGAAAAGGCAAAGAGACTTTTTTTTTTTTTTTTTTGGATCCTACTCCTTGCTGTTGCTTAGTCTAGTTGGCCTGGTCTAGCTGAACTCATAGAAATAATTACCTGCCCTGAGGCAGTGGCTAACAGGCAGGCTTCTGAATCCCATCACAGTTTGTTAGTTCTGTGGCCTTGGGTAAGTTACAAAATGTCTCTGAGGCTGTTTTTTTGACCTCTGAAATGGGGATTAAGTGAGGTAATGTGTGCAAGCACAGGGCCTGGCATATAATAAGCGATAGGCAGAGATAATTCTTAAGGCTTTTAGGATTGGGGACCTAAATAATTTATTCCTCTAAGCTGAGTTCTAGTTGCGACAGAAGAAACTGAGACCCTCAGAGGTGCAATGATATGCCCACCTGGAACCAGAAGCCATGGCTCCTATTTTACTCACTAGTGTATTTTTCCACCTCTGGTTATATGGAGCTCTCAGGCACACACCATAAATCTTGGCTTTAGAAGGCACCAGCCCAGAACCACAACCCTTCCTGGATTCCTTTTATTTTCTCTCCAGTTCTGCCTGCGGACAGGCCGCCTAGCAGCTCTGCCCTGAGAATTCAGCTAGAGGGAAAGAGAGATGATTGAGGGGAGGAGCAGTGTGTTGGGTGGCTTGGCCTGTATGGAGTTCCAGGTTTCCATTCTGGATCTGGCTGAGGTGGGTAGAGATAGCAGGTTGGTCATAGCATGGATGGGGGAAGATACCCCTTCCCCCATAACTGCTGGCCAAGGACAGGTTGGTCAGGAATGGGTTTGTGTTGCTGTTGTGCTGGGGTTTTTTTAAATCATTGTCCTCTGTTGAGGAGAAGCTTCACTGTTCCCTAAGGATATCCCAAGAGGGGCATGAGCTCTGAGAAGCAAGGAACCCAGAAGAGTCATTTCTGATTACAGGTAGAGACTAAGATGTCAGAGAGAGAGAGAGAGAGAACTAGACCTGCAAAGACAAAAAGGGTCAATCCCCTCCACAATCACACTGGCTTCTTAATAACTCCCTTTAACTGCATTTAAATCAATTGTGGGCATCTTGAGCACAAATTGCAGCACTCAGAAGCCCAGGAAATGAAAATAGCATTGCGAAGTATGATGAGGGGAAGCCATTTTTAAAGCAGTAGAAGTCCTTAGGTAAAAAAAAAAAAAAAAAGAAAGAAAGAAAGAAAACAATTCCTAGATGCCAGAGGGTCAGATCAAAAGAGAAATGCCTTTCTAACTCCCTAGTAACCATCTCCAGCCCAATCCACATTAATGCTGTGCATAATATTAAGCAACAGAAGGGCTCAGGGACTGAGGCCCTCTCCATTTCAGAGCCTTACCTCTAAAAGCAATACTTTCTCGGTTCCCTAACCCTCACCTGTCTCAGCTAGGGCAGGCTGTGGGAGATAGAAACCTGAGGCATGGGGGTGGATGTGATTATTACAGGCTGAACCGTAGGAAATTATTTTTATCTGGCCACCTTTGGCCTACAAAAACAACTATTTCACATCAACTTATTAATTAAAAGAATCGTCCTCATAGCTACCATTTATTGAGCAACTAGATTGTGCCAGAAACTGGGTGTAGATCTTGCTATTTATTCTTCCTCACCACCCTAGAGGCAGGTATTATGATCCTGATAAGAAAGCATTAGGTAACAAGAGGTAGAGCTTGGCTCCTTTTCTTGACTGCCTTTGCTTATCCTCCAGAATAGGGGTTGAAAATATACTCGGGCCTCTGACATACAAGGGTCTGAATCTTCGGTCCACTAGTAACTATCTGTGTGACCTCATGTCAGGTTTATAAACACTTAAATCATCAGTTTTATTAGAAGTAAACTAGGGGATCTCTGGGTGGTGCAGTGGTTTAGCGCCCGTCTTTGGCCCAGGGCGCGATCCTGGAGACCCGGGATCGTATCCCACGTCAGGCTCCCCGTGCATGGAGCCTGCTTCTCCCTCTGCCTGTGTCTCTGCCTCTCTCTCTCTCTGTGACTGTCATAAATAAATAAATAAATAAAATTTAAAAAAAGAAGTAAACTAGGATAGTGATAAAAGGTACATCATAGCTTTGCCAGGACTGAACAAAATAACCTCTGCAAAACATTGTGTTACTGTGCCTGGAACAGCAGGCGTGCTTAGTGAGTAGCTACTGTCATACTCTCTTTCTTCAGGAGCACACAACGCAAAGGGCTTCTTGCTCCTCCTTATCTTTCCTTTGTCCTTTTTTTGGATTGAAGCCTTTTCTCCCTAGCTTCTTCCTTCCAGACCACCTCCTCTGTTCTGTGTTTGCCTACCTCCTGGGGAGCATTGAAGAGGAAAGAATCCACAGCCTGGCAAAGCAGTTTCTGGGCCTCTAGCCCCAGGTGGAGGGAGGCTGACTCACGGGGGTGGGGGGGGGTGTTAGCCCCACCTTCACCCTAATTCCAGCTTTGAGCCCTGGTGTGATTTTCCTCAGGTTAGGGACTGGCCTGATTCTTCTACACCCTGTCCCAGGGAATCCTGGACTCCGAAGGGGCCCTTCAGAGCTGGAGGCAGCCTCTGAGGACAGGGGCAGGAGAGGCCACGTCCAGGAGACCTTACTGCTGTTCACTTTGCTCCTCCCGGCCCACGCTCCATCAGCTCTGCAGCTCTGCAGCTCAGCTGATGGTGACAGGACCCTTGGCTCGCGCAGGGCCATCCGGCGGTCCTGTACCCCATGCCACCGCGCGCGACTGTTTTCTGAGTTGGAAACAGCTGTGTCCACCTGACCCCCCCACCCTAACTTTTTTGCCTGCCGCTCTCCTGGAGGGACAGACGCACACGTGCACACAGGCGCGCGCACAGGTGCACACACACACACACACACACACACACACACACACACACCAGTGCGCGACCCCTCCTTCCCTCCCCGCGTTTCCCACGGGCGCGCCGCCCTGGTCCCAGGCCCCCAAAGCTCTGCTCCCACCCCACCCTCGCGGGGTCCCAGCCCAGTCACCCCACGAGTGCCCCCCTGCCCCGCCCCCAGGAGAGCGCGTGCTCCAAGCCGGACGACGACATCCTAGACATCCCGCTGGACGACCCCGGCGCCAACGCAGCCGCTGCCAAAATCCAGGCGAGTTTCCGGGGCCACATGGCGCGGAAGAAGATAAAGAGTGGAGAGCGCGGCCGGAAGGGCCCGGGCCACGGGGGAACGGGCGGAGCTGGGGGCGCCCGGGGAGGCGCGGGCGGCGGCCCCAGCGGAGACTAGGCCAGGTGAGGCGGGCGGCAGCTGCCCTCCCCAAAGCCGGGACCGCTCCCCCCACCCCGAGGAGCTCGACGACCACGGGGAGGGCTGCGGGGTGCAGTGGGAGCTAAGGGTGGGGGCCTAACCTCGGAGATGGGGAGGCGGGGGGGGGCGGGAGGAGGCGAGAGCTCACCTGTTCTCCTCTCTCCTCCTCCCTCTGCCCCGCCCTGGACCGAAGAACTGAGCGTTTTCAAAGGTAATGAATACGCCTCGCAAGCGGGTGCAAGGCCCCGGGGGGGGGGGGGGGGGCGGGGAGGACCAAATCCCCCACCCTGCCCTCTAACCCGCCCTCACCCCCGCCCCCAGCCTGCGGGGTTTGATACATCAGGACGCCCGAGGCTGCGGCGGGGACCCCCCTGGGCCGACACAGAAACGCGGCCACCCGGGTTTGGCCGCGCGAACACGGCCTGAGGCTATAAGCACCCTGGGCGCGCACGCACAGGCCGCCGGCTCTTTTCCGCTCAGTGACTCGGGGGGCGGGGGGGGCGGTTCTGGGTGACTGGGGTCCCCTGGCGCTCGCCGCCCCGGTGTCCTGGCTCAGGAAGGGGGGCAGGACGGGGGAGAGGAGGTGCCAGGAGGGCAGGCGCTCAGACCTTCTCTCTTCGCAGTTGCCGAGGAGCGATGGATGCCGCGTCCCCTTCGCAGTGACGAGACTTCCCTGCCGTGTTTGTGATCCTCTCCTTCCCACCACCTGCCAGCTTCAGGAGCCCTCCCCGCGTCCCTGGACTCCCTCTCCCAGGCAGGCTCCGTCGAGGAGTCGCTAAGTCCGCGCCCTTTTAGTTAGTCCTCCGGGCTAGTATGGTCCCCACTCGCCCCTCCTTCCCACCCGAGCCCCAAACCCCAAGCCCCGCGCTCTCCTGTCTTCCTTCTTTTGCTTCTCGCCCACCTCTGCCCGCGCCCCGCATGCAGCTCTGCCTCCGCAGCCGCCGTGCACTTCCCGCGCGCACTGCGGAGGGCGCCCTAAGCGTCGCCCAAGTACACTCACTTAAAAAAAAAAAAAAAAAGTCCTTCCGTTCTGTGCGCAGCTAAAGGGGGCGCTCTGCGTCTCTGCGCTGTTCGCGCCCCAGCCGCGCCCCGGAACTTTGGCTCTGGGGCGAGGAGAGAGAGGAAGAGGGTTTTCATGGTGTCGGATACCTCCTGCTCTGATCCTAAGGGAAGTACCTATTGCTCTGATCCTAAGAGAAGTACCCATTTCGCGCCCTCACCCCACGCCTGCCTGTAATCTGCTTCCCCCCTCCCCAGCGCACCCCGAGAGCCGCCTCTCCAGCTCTCACCTGGTTTATGCAAACGCCGAGCGCCGGGGAGGCTCGGTAGGAGGAGTCTGCCGCGGCCCCGCCCCCGCCCCTGCTAGCCCCGCCCCCCGCCGGGCTCCTGGGGCTGTGGCCCGAAGGATTTTTATCTCCGTGTGTGCATGTGACCGTGCTGGGTTGGAATGTGAACAATAAAGAGGAATGTCCAAGTATTCAGAGGGTGCCGGAGGGGAGGGAGTTTGGGTGCACCAGGCCATCGCCTGAAGCTTGAGCAGACTTCCCTTGACCAAACCAAAGAGCGGAGGGGGGAGGACGGGGACGAGGGGACGAGGGGACAAGGACGACCTTGGTTAAAACCCACTGTCTTGGCCGCCAACCAAACTTCCCACCCGCAGCATCACCTCTAGGACTCCAAGCCCATTCCTTCCCGTGCTGGTAATATTTTTGTGCCGCCTGGGGGAATTTGCTTTGCCACCAGAAGAGAAGAAGGGGAAACAGCATGGTACCCAAGGGCTTTAATTCTGGATATTCCCCCTTAAGGATAGGGGGAGAAATCAGACAAGCATAGGAAGCTTGGACTTGGTGGTTGTCGCACTGCTGGCAGAGGGGGGCCTCTCCAGGAACCCTTTGCTAGAATCGGCTCTCATGGAAGTTTGCCCAGAAATCCCAGGAGCAAGGGCATCCTCCCTGATAGACATAAGAAAATTTTTAGTGGAGGCTGAGAGCATCCCTCAGAGGATCCCCCCATTCCCCCCATCCTCTAACCTGAGGACTTTACATTTTTAATGTGCATGCAAATCATCTGTGGAATTGGAGTTAAAATGAAGATTCCAGGCCCCATCACACACACACATACACACACCACACGCACACTGCTTCAGGAGGGATAGGAAGTAGCGTGAATCTGAATGTTTAAGAAGCGCCTGGTATTTTCTGTCCAGGCAATCAAAAGACCACACTTTGAGAAATATTGCTCTGCTTCCTATTCTGGACCCCAGGACTGACAGCTAAGATGGATGACTGAAGTGGCGTTTGCCTCTCCTTTCCTTACTACCCCACACAGAAGATCTAAACTCAGTTGAAGGCTCTAACTCCCAGCATCCATATCCTGTATATGTATAGGAAAAGGCCTTAAAACCTGAGAAATTCTCTTAGTATGAGGAGGGTAAGGGAAGCGGTGAACCAAGTCCTCCACCCTCACACGCAAATATACTTGCTGTACTGCCACCCCCAACACCAAATCCCAGAGCTGAGCAGCACTGCTCACCCCAAAACAACCCTACAGATGTCAGAGTTTGAGGGCTGAAGTCACCTACTCATAACCCAAGCCCTTGTCTCCCATCCTGTCCCGCACACCACCACCCCCCAGCCCTCTGCTCACCGAATGTCACTGCCCCCATACGTCTCCTTGGGCCTCTTCCTCCGCTCTTTCTGGAATCTTAACAGGCAGAATGCAGCAACTGACAAGAACAGCACGACCAGGAGCACCCCAATCAAGGCCCCAGCCACTCGGCCTTTGGATGGGTCTAAGGGGACACGGGAAATTCAGAGCTGCGGACATTCTTGGCCCCCCCTCAGGTGTCTGGCACAGCCTCCCCAGCCCAGGCCCACCAGCGGGGCCTCTGCCCGGCATCCCCTACCGGTCACAGAGAGGGTCAGCTCACAGGAGGCACTGCCCATCTGGTTGGTGGCCACACAGCGGTAGGTGCCAGAGTAGGTCAGGGAGAGATTGGTGAGAATGAGCTGGCCAGACACCTCATCTAGAGGGTAAGGAGGAAGGGCTCCATCATTCACTCAACTCACAGTGAGCAGCTACCAGTTGAAGGCATGTCTCATTTCACCCTTCCAACAGTCCTGCCAGTCCTGTCAGGAAGGGACTAACCTCATTTATTAGGGGGAAACTGGCTCAGAGAAGGCAAGTGATTATCCGAGGTGACCCCGGAAGGAAGTGCCAAAGCTGCTGCTACTTCTGTGCTCTTTCCACCCTACACAGCGGCCTTTTTAGGGGAGGGGGAGGTAGCACACTCATGGAATTGGGGTGATGTCAGGTTCCTGGTTGGGAGGGGTGGAGAAGGCTTGATTGCTAGAAACTGTATCTTCTGGGGTGGCTCAAAGCTCACCCAAATGTTTTACTAAGCGGCTTGCCTTCCCTTTAGAAGGCAGAGCACACACCAGATGGTCTGGAGGGCTCTCTGCACTGATAAAGGGGTGTGCTGGGACTGGGGCTGGGGCTGGGGCTGGGGCAAGGGACGGGCCCTGGAACAAACATGAGGAGGCTCCGGAGCCAAGGCTCTTACCCAATGATATGGTTCCTCCCAAGAAGCTGACTACATGACTCCAGCCAGTCCATGCTATTCTGCCTCAGTTTCCTCTCTGGGAAGCTTACAAATGATTCACAACCCTTAAGAAATCCCCAGAAGTGGGAGTCATAGAAGACCCCCTGCTTTCCACTGTCTTCCAAGAGATCAGAGGACATTCAAGTTGAGAAATGCTCCCAGAACCACGGAGCCACAGACTGCAGGGAGGCAGACAGGAGGGAACCATAAGGACACCAAGAGAGAAGCAGGGAAATGTAGAGCCGTTTCTCTCACACCCACAGGGACAGAACCAAGAAGGGTGGGTGTGTGGAGTTTAGAGACCAGATTTGCTCAGATCCTGAGTCCCCCTTCCCCCCCCCCCATGCCCTGGGCCCTTACCTTGCATCATGCTGCCAGGAGAAGGTGCAGGGGAAGATCCGAGGCGTACCCAGTTGTACACTGGCCTGGGGGCTCCCTGGGAAGAGCTGCACTTCAGTGCAGCAGAGCCCCCCACGGAGGTCTGCCCACTTGCACTGCACGAGGGACTACTGGGGGGCACTGCAGAAATCACAGGAAGTACCTTAGCCATCTCTTAGCTCCCCTCCCCACCCAGTAAGTGCTAGATTTCCTGCTCTGACCAAATAGTAGTCCACCTCTGGTCATGTCCCACTGCATCCCCAGGAAATGATTCCCACTATTGGAAATTCTGATTGTTAGAAAATTCTTCCTCGTGCTGAGCCAAAATCTGTGTTAATACAACATCCACCCGTTTGGTCCCAATTTCTGTCCACAAAGAGAAATGAAAAATCTCTCATCCCCAGGACAAACCTTCAGCTATTTGAATGCAGTTGTTACACACCTCCTAAATCTTCACTTTTCCACCTAGACATCCCCAGCCTCTTTAAGAGTTTCTGTTTGCTCATCTCTGAGCAGGTTCTGGGGTGGAGCGAGATGGAAACTTGGAACAGAAGGTTGGTGCCTTAGTGGCAGGGGCCCTTGTTCCTTTAATGGCCACTTCCCTTCTCTGCCACTGACCTAAGGAGAGAAAGAATCTGAGCTACAATTGGGATGTTCCTCCAAAGAGAGAGTTGTTGGGGATGTGACTCAGATCCCTATATAAGGGAAGGGCTTTCTCTCTCTTGCACCCTTTGTTACTAGGGACTGAGGAAGGAGGCATTCTTTGTGGAGGGTGGAGCAGGAGTAGGACTATGGAGATTAGAGGATTTGGGGAGGGAGGTATTCTCCTTTGAGGTCCAGGTTGGAACAGGGTGTGCTTGGGCTGGAAATCGGGATATGGGGGTGGACTTAGCAGGCCCAGTGCAATCTTTCACAATACAGGGGTGGCTGGTGGCTCCCCAGGCTGCCTTACCGAGCACAGTAAGGTTGATTAGCCCCAAGCCATTGGTGTAGAAGTCTGGCGGGTTATTAACTTGGCAGAGGTAGGTTCCAGTATCTGAGGGCTGGACATCAGTCAGTTTCAGGGTGGCCACCCCTCTTGTGGGGGGATTCTGAAGCAGGCTGGCCCTCTTTGCCTTAGAACCAGTTGGATACAGGTGGCCATTGGTGAAATACAGGATCTGGAGAGAAGCAGAAGACACCCGTGTGTCCCTTTTTCTGCCTGGCGTCCACTCTACTGTCCTTTCTTGGAAACAGGCATAAGAAAGTATACGAGGCCCCTCCTTGTATACCAGGCAGGGAAGCTAATGCTCTGGAGCAGGAACCAGCAGGGTCTATCTGTCTCCAAATGCCATCCCTTCCTGGGTGCTAAATGAACTTTATTTGCTCATTTATTTGCTTGTTGTATTGCTTTCTGCTAAGCATGGCTCTCAATTTGGGGGGGGGGGAGTTAATGCAGATATTCTTGGAAGGGGCATCATTTGATCCTACTAACAATCACCTAGAGCTCAACAGCAGTGGGTTTATTTACTGGAAAGGCACTAGGAGAGGGGAGTTGCTTGTAGAAGGTAGGGGAGAGGAGGATGCACAGAGCCCTGTAGGGGATACCCCGGCAGGCAGACTGTGGTGCTAGGATCTGGGAAGAATCCATTCTTTTTTTTTTCATCCAAGCATGCCGATCCCCAAACCCACCCTCTCTGACCTGCACCCTCATCCTGGCTGGGCCCCCTGTTCCAGCCTCCCCCAGCCCCACTCCCAGCCACTGCTCTCTGCTCACAGGATGGGCTGCCGAGATGGGCTTCCCAGGCTGCACAAAGCTCCACTCCAGGGCGAAGTTGTCTCCCACGGACGTGCTGTAGCTGCAGGTCAGCTCTGCGCTCTTGCCGGCAGGGGTGCTCAGGGGCTCCACGGGCACCTTTACCTCCACGGCTAGCCCGGGGGCTGGGGGACACAGAGAGGGAAGGCCAGCCGAGAAGGGCTGGAAGGCGCAGGTCTCGGGTGGAGGGGAGGCCCGGCCCCAGATCCCTGGGAGCGATGTGGGGGTCTAGCCCAGACTGGGGGCACCCAGGGCCCAGGGTGGGGGACCCCCTCCCTACTCCTCCTCCTCCTCCAGAGCTCAGTTCCCTTCCATTCCCTCCCTTCTCGAGGTTTCCGGGAGGGAGGAGCGCACAGCTCGGCTGGGTTTTGTAGGTAAAAGGACGGAGCCGAGGCCCCATATGAGGGTGTGTTTGTCGGGGGAGAGAAGACAAGTGGGGGGGAGGTGGAGACCATCCCCAGGAAGCCCAGCTTGCCCCCTCCCAGCGCCCGCCTCTGATGGTCCCAGCCCCCCAGCGCCCCCAGCCCCCCAGCGCCCCCACAGAGCCAGCAGGCCCCAGGAGGTGGCCCGTGCCCCCAGCCCTGCCGGCCGCCCGCAGCCTCCTCACCGCCCAGGCAGACGAAGCCCAGCAGGGCCGTGCAGAGGAGCAGCCCCCGAAGCCTGGCCATGGCGTGTCCGGTCAGTGGGTGGGTGGGTGCGGTGGGTGCGTGTGGGGGGAGGGACAGCGGCACCCACGGGGGCAGCCTTGGCTGGGCAGGAGCGAGACTGGCTATCTCAGAGCAAACAAGGGGAGAGGCCGGGCCCTGAGGTAAGGGAATGCTCCTCCCTCCTCCAGCCCCAAGACTGGAGCCTTTGTAGGCCTACTCCCTCTTCCTCCCTCTTCCCCCCAAGTTTCTGAAGCTGCCAGCCAACACCACCCCAGTCCCCAGACCCGCTGGGCTTGGAAGGGCACCCTCCCCACCCGGGGCAGGCATCAGATCTGGAACTCTCTGTAGACCCAGAGGTGCCCTGGAAGAAGAGGGAGGCATTCTGAGAACCTGAGTTGGCCATCGGGGCGTCACCACTTTGGGGTCCCGCCTGGAGCATGAGGCCCAGGCCAAGACCCTTCCCGACCCCTCCAGAGATTCTTACTCCTTCCCAGGCCTTTTCTCTGAGTTCCCTTCTTTGGCACCTTTATCACTGCCTGCCGAGGTAGGGGTTTCCATGGAAACTAGAGCCACCTCCCCACTCCCAGAGCGACTCCATTTCTCCAGGAGAGAAACTGAGTCTTGGAGGAGATGCCACCTGGGTAGGAAGTAGGACAGGCTGTGGCAAAATTGGGGTGCAGGCCTGCACCCGGTCCTATGCCCGGCTTTCCCTCACTACATGGAGGGCAGGAAGATGTGTCTTTTAAGGACTTGATGGTCTACAAGTCAGGTTTCTCTCTCCCGTCCTTAAGAGGAATCAGAAGATTAAGAGGACCCACACCCCAAATCTGTGAGCAGTCAAGCCCTAGCTGAAAGGGCACCGGCTTCCATCCCCTTGCTGCTCAGAGTGGGTTAGGATCTTCCTGGCCTTAGATTTTCGGAGCCTTCCCCATGCCACCTGATAGCAAATGATCCTTTTAATTTTTTTTAAGATTTATTTATTTATTTATTTATTTATTTATTTATTTATTTGTTTGTTTGTTTGAGACAGAGAGAACATGAGCAGGAGGGGCAGAGGGAGAGGAAGAGAGAATCCATCCCAAGCAGACTCTGCAGGGCTGGATCTTAGGACCCTGGGATAATCACTCTGAGACCACCACCTGAGCCAAAACCAAGAGTTGGTTGTCCATCTGACTGCACCACCCAGGCGCCCCCACAAATGACCCTTTTAAAGACCCTAGGAGAGCTGTTCCAGGACGCTGTGTGGAGAAGCCCTCCTGGGTTTGAAAAGGCAATTTGACTCTTACTTTCCATAAAAACACAATGCGTCTTTATTAAAATTTGCAAAATAAAAACAAAAACACATATTTCAAGTTAGTTCAAAAAAATACCTTCCTTATCCCCTGCCCCCAACAAAACCCAACCAAGCCAGCAGGACAGGTTATATGAATGCAGGGAGCTGGAGTGGGAGTGAAGGATGCTGTTAGATGGGGTGGAGTACAGATCAAGGGCCTGGAGGACTCCTGGACTGGCCGTCCCTACCAGGGCCACCAGGGCCACATCTCAGCAGTGTTCCCTGCAGTCATAGGAAGGCCTGGGGGAGGGGGTGGCCCTCTTCCTAATCCCCAAGATTCACTTCCTCTTCTACCTCTTGAATGTTTGGATCTTAACTGAGACTCGGTTCCCCCATAGTAAAGAAAGGTGTGAGCAGAGAACTGGAGGTCTGGAAGGTGGTCTCCCAAGACTCAGGCCTCTGTGCTAGGGGGACCCATCTAGGAAGGAGAGAAACCAGATGGCTTAGCTGATGAGTGGCTGGACCATCACACCAGAGACCCAGCCTGACTCTGGGCGGGCACCATTACGGGGACAGCGCCCATGCGGCTCAGCGTGGAGGAAGAGACCCCACCTGGGCTGGGGGATATTGGCTGAGGCTGGGCCCCGTCTGTCCTGGGCAGCCTGGGTGAAGGCAGGACCTGGCTGGAGAGGCTGAGCGTGGGGGTCAGGGCACCGGGCCTGGGAGGCCCTTGCGGGTGCCGGAGGGCTCGAGCTGAGGTGACCGAGGAAAGGGTCCCATTCTTGGAGATTGTGTCTGAGCCCTTGGGCCAAGGCAGTGTCCGGGGAGCAGTGGCATCCTCCCTGGTCATCAAAGAAGTAATAAGAGGTCAGAAGCTGGAAGGGGGAGCAGGGGAGCATTTCTACATGCTTTGTCTTCCTCCCTGGTCACACACCTTTTCACTCTCCCCTCCCTTAAAGCCCACCCAATGGAAAGAGGGTTCAGCCACTGCCCACCTTTCCCTTAGAGGACAGCTGCCCAAACTCTGAGCGCCAAGGGAAGCAAGCAGAACCCCATTCGAGCAGAGACACTTACTTGATATCATTGGCCGGCTCCTCTAGGGCCTTGCTCCGGCGGTGGTACAAGAGGACCAGCCCGGCCAGCATCCCCAGCCCCACCAGAGTGCCCACGACAGCTCCAGCAACCACCGCAGGCCCTGGCCCTGGAAAAAGCCTTGGGGTCAGAGGGAGACTCCCAGCTGGTCCCCGCCCCCTCCAATCCCTGTACCCCACCGCCACCAGAAACCTTTTCTTTTCTTCCCGTCAAGCAGAAAATGGTCAGTCAGTGACCAGATATTTGTACAAACATTTGACCAGGACAAGCTCCTTGTCCTGTTGACATTGAGAGGCCTCAGCAGACAGGCCTCCTCTCCTCCTGCAACCCCGCCCCCACCTGTGTCCAATCTTCTCCTTAACCACACTTACCCCTCACTGACCTGTGCTCACTTCCAAGGTCACGTTGCACTGGGCACTGCCCACCTCGTTGTGGGCCTTGCAGATATAGACTCCAGACATGGGACTGGAAAGGTTTGTGAGGCTTAAAGATCCACGGATGGCATCTGTGGACACAATTTGGCCATCAGTCCAGGGACCCTCTTTCCCCCTGAAAAAATTCTGCCCCTTCTGGAACATCTTCTTTGTCTCTCTGGGAGACTCATCTGTCTGTTGCCTCACAGTGGGAAAAGTTGTGACAGCCAGCATGCTGGGTTCTGGCCCCAGGTACTGAACTGCGAACCCCATGCCCCTCACCATTTCCACTGCTCAGTGTCTCTGATTGACTTCTAAAAAGATTCAGAGAGGAACTGATGCCCAGAACAACCCAAATACCATTTTTACTTTTATTTCGGATTGGCTGTGTGACGAGAAAGAAAACATTAGGCTAGGAATCAGAAACCCTGAGATTCCCAACAGGCCATGTGACTTTGAACAAGTTACTGCCTATTCCTGGGTCTTAGTTTTTTTTTATCTGTAAAATGAGGTAATATGACCTCTTTGATGGTGTTGAAAGGATAATATAATATCACCATTGTAACAGTTGGAGTTTATTGACCACTTACTCTACCCCAGAGACTAAGTCCCTGACATGGACTAACTTATGAAAACTTCACAACAAACCTATGAGCTACGTACTATTTTAAAAATACAAATAATTTTTTTTATTATCAAACTGGTCAAATGAAAAGTAGAAAAAGGGACAAAATGAAAATCCATATACCCACTACTTTGATTCGATGATTGTTAACATTTTGCTCTACTTACTACATTTCTCTTTTTTGCGAGACATTTAGAAATAAATGCTTCAGCATAAGTCTCTAAAATATAAGGACATCAGCCGCATCACTACAAATCCACTGCTGCATCTGATAAGTTAATAATTCTTTGAAGGAATTATCTAACACCTAAGAGTAATTATCTGATTATCCATATTGAAAATATCCAGGGACGCCTGGGTGGCTCAGTGGGGTCCTGGGATTGAATCCCCTGCAGGGAGCCTGCTTCTCCCTCTGCCTGTGTCTTTGTTTCTCTGTGTGTGTCTCTCACAAATAAATAAATAAATAAATAAAATCATTAGGAAAAAAAAGAAAGAAAATGTCCAATTGTCCTCAAAACATCTTTTATAACTAGTGGGTCCAAATCAGGGCTATGATATTACCGTTTTAGAAATAGCTCAGAGTCACAGAGCTAGTAAATGGCAGAGCTGGAATTTGAATGCAGATTACCTAGCTCCAGAGCCACAGCACCTGAAAGCCCCCAGCACAGTGCCTGCACCTGGAGGGCCCTCTTTTCCCACCCCTTCTCCCCACATCCTCCTCCATCCCAGTACCTTGCAGCATTGCCTCCCCTTTTTGGCCCCGTCCCTCTGGTGCCTCTCATCTTTCCTTACCCCAGCCAGTCTCAAGTGCCCTCACCTAAAACTGGTGCAAAGAACACCTGGGCAGATGGGGGTGCCCGCTCCCACTGGTACTGGGCAGCTGGCTTACTCCTTGGGGACTGGCAGCTCAGGGTCACATTGGTCCCCACGCGGGGCACGCCCAGGAGGCGGCAGGAGGGAGGAGCTGGAGGAACTGGAGCAGAAAGATGGGTTAAAAACTCAAACCCAAGGGAAAACAGACCCCTGCCATCCTCACCCCCAAAATGTTCCCTGTACCCCCCTCCTCCAACCTCTACACTCTGCCATTTGGGAGAGAAACCTGCCTGTCCCCCCCTCCCCCCATGGGGCTGGGGAAGGTTTGCAAAGTGTGCTTCACACTCACCCAGCACACTGAGTTCTAAAGTTTTGCTGCCATGGCTCCTGTTTTTGCCTTCATGGTCTTGCACATTCACAGAGCAGCGGTAGGACCCAGAGTCTTTCTCCCGGAGGCCCTGCAGCCGCAGGGACACATTCTGGGAGGGCATGGAGTAGACCAGGGATACCCCAGATTTGCTTGACGTGGCCCCACTGATGTACGCCAACACCTGGTGGGGAGCACAACGCCTCCCCGTTATTCCGTGTGTGCCCTGTGCCCACAGGCTCAGCTGACCCGCCTCCCCCACGCTGGCAGTCTTCAAGTGCTCCTCCCTGTACTCATCCCTCTACCCTGTACCAGCTCCTCATTCACCTGCTGTCTCTCTAGCCTCCCTCTCTCTGCCCCTGGGTCCTCTTCCCACAACAGTTCTTGAACCCCTATGCTTTGTCTCTTCATCTCCCATTTGGGGCATTTAGAAAGGTGAGGGATAATGTAAACAAGGGTATTTATGAAAGAAACTTGGATTGCAGGGGTACTCCCAAGATTTTTTTAAAAAATCTTTTTATACTCTTCTTTTTTCTTGAAGATGTCCCCTTTCCCCATGTATAAGTTCAGACCCTGTGAACCCAGGATCTAACCCCGCAATCTCAATTTCTCACATACAGCCCCCCTGCTTATCAAATGACCTGTTGAATATACTTTCCAGAGCCTTCGGAGGAGCCAAAGCAAATATGGGCTTTGAAAATGAAGTTTCATTGGCTTCTGGGTAACTCTGCCTCGGAGAATAAGTCTGATGTCAGGAAGGAGGGAGGGTAAGTGTAAGGAGCCTGCAAAGTCTCTCAAAGGAGTGTATTCAGGGGACGGATTCAGGAAGAGAAGTGGCCTGTGACAGTGTCCAAAGCACAAAGAAGGTGAAAATAGGAAGATGCTCAGCTTTTCCATGTTGTGTGATCCTCGCCCCAACCCTCCCCTTGTGATGAAACCTCAGTCCTCACTGTCCCTCCCACAAAGCAAAGCAAAGCAAAGCAAAGCAAAGCAAAGCAAAGCAAAGCAAAGCAAAATGCTTTTCTGCTTTCCTGCATTTCATGTCCTGGATTTCGGGAGAAAGTTGGGGAAAAGAACATCGTTTCGGGCACCCTCCGAAGTCAGACCAAACACCCCGGAGGTGAGGAGGACCTCACTCCTCCTCCCCAACTCCTTCCCTGTCCCCTCTGCCCAGACCACCCCTCCCATTCCCGCCAGCTCGTCCCTGGGCCGGGTCACAGGCTGCCCCCAGCCTCTGGCAGAGATGCTTTCCTGCCTCACCTGGTTCAGATCCTGCCCTTGTTCCAAGAACCACATCACGGTGAGCAACTCCCACGGCCCAGGCTGGGCGGGCGATTGGCCTCGCAGGGTGTACCACACCGGGAGCACGACGTCCGCGCCTTCCACCGCCTTCAGCTTGGCGAGGCCCGCGGGCACGTGAAGCTCCAGCTGGGCCCGCGAGGAGGACGCTGAGCACAAGAGCGCGGAGGAGGCGAGAGCGTGAGCGCCCAGGACCGGCTCCCGCTCGGCCTGCGGACCTTGCCCCACGCGCAGCAGGAGAGGACGGAGCTCGCAGGTCCACCTCCTGGGCCTCGAACACCGCCCAGGGGCTGCTGCCCTACGGTCCTGCTTTTGTCAGAGCTCAGCCCTGGGCTCCTAACAGGGGTAGGGACACATTCCTGCGCCTCTATTTGTATCCAGAGGAGCGGTTTTCATTGCGCCCAGAGAAGGGGGCAGATTTCCCGCGGGGAGGGGACGACCCCTAAGGGGGGGCAGGTTTCATACTGTTAACCTGCACCCTTGCAGCACACTGGCTCCCCCAGTTTTCGGGGGCAGCGGCGCAGGTCTGGATGGCCAGCGTTCCTGCTCCTGCTTCTCGACCCCACGGGCGGGGTGGGGGGGTTGGGAGGCCGCCGGATTACCGATTAACCCGCGGCTCCGTCTGAATCAACAGCTCGGGCAGCGGAGAGCGGAGCCGGCCCGGCGCTCCTCCGCCCCCCGCGTCCGCACCGGGGCCTCCCCCAGGAAAGCCCAGGCCCAGGCCCAGGAGGTGGCCCCAAGCGTCCGGGCGGCCCGCCCCAGCAGGGCCGACAGAACACGAATGAAGGCCCCCGGACACTCGAGTACGAGTCTCCGGGGCGTGGGTGTGGCGTTCAGGGGTGGACGGGGTGTTGGGTTCAAGGAGACCACAGTGGGGTCCATGCTTGCGCCAAGGCGTCCAGAAACACTTGAGAGAGGCAGCCGGGCAGCCGAGTCCCCAGCCCCAGGAGGGAATAACCTTGGGCTTGTACGAGGCCAGGCCGAGGAGGCTGGCACCTCGGCAGGCCGAGGAGTCTGGGCCGCCGACCCCCGAGGTGACCCGCTCCCCGCCCCCTGGAGCGGATCCAGCCAGGATGCGCGCCACCCCCGCGGCTTTCCGGCTGCGCGTCTCTCCAGCACCCCCACCCCTATTCCTTGGCCTTCGCAGCACCCCCTGTCCGCTTCCTGGCGGGTCCCCGCGGGCCGGGGCAGGAAACTTGTGCCCGGTGATAAGGCTGAAGACAATGACGCGGGAGCCGCAGGGCCGGAGGTGCTACAGGAGAAAACAACCTCTGCTCAAGGAGCCCGACGCCCCCCCCACCCCCGGGCCCAGGGCGGACCGGCCTCTGCGGCCTCTGCGGGCCCATCGGGGTCCCCCTGGATCTCCCCCGGGTCTCCCCCGGCCTCCCTGCAGCGCACGCCCCGGTGGCCACAAGCGGTTCCCGTCGGGGAAACCAGCCTGCGCCCCGGGACACGCGCGGGCCCCTCCGCCACCGGCGCCCCCAGGCCCCGCGCTCCTCTTTTTCACTCTGCAAAAGGTGGGGGTGGCGGTGGCAGCAGTGATGGACACGCACCCCCCCGTCGGCAGCCAGGGGCTCCCCCGCCCGGGCCCCGGGTGTCCCCCGCCGCAGACGCCCCTGCGGCCCACGGCGTCCCTGCGGCGTTTGGGGAGGACGCGGGGCAGCCCAAGAAAGGGACCCTTCGGGCCCGAGTGAGGGAGCAGGCCGCGGCCAGAGGAGCACAAAAATGGGCCCGCTCCCCGGGGCTACTATTTTTAGTTTCCCTTCCTCTGAGAAACTCCCCCCGCGGGCTTCTCACGCCCCAGGGGCAGCGGCGCGGGCCTCGGGAGCGCGGAGCGCACGGCCTCCCCGGGTCGGCCGAGCCCGGATCCCAGCAGGGCCGCGGCGCTCGAGGCGCTCGCCGGGTGCCCGGGTGCCTGGGACTCGCGGGTGCGGCGGCCGCTCAGCAGCCCCCTGGGGAGGCCAGTTAGGGACGTGGAGCCTGGGCGGTCGTCGTCCTACAAACTGAGGCCCAGAGGGAGGGTAGGAAAGGCAGAGCTTGCAGGAGAGGTAGCGGACGACGCCCAAGCTGCGAACTTGGACTTTTTTCTCTTGCGTCGCAAGCGCCCCGCGGAGCTGGGCACGTTGGGGGTAGAGGCGCCGAGGCAGACGTTGGGAGAAGGGGGCTGAGACTTAAGTGAAGGGACCCTGGGGCAGGCCCACCAAGCCTAGAGGAGCAGAAATCTGTCCAGGCTTTGGTGTGGCAGGTGGGGACCCTAATGACTTCATGCCGCAACACCCTTGTGGCACATAGTAGGCTAAAGGGGGCATGGGTGAGCTTTAGGGGGTCCCCTTCTCAGTCCCCATCACTGTGGCTGAGTTCCACTCTAGGTCTCTCTGTATCTGGTGACTTGTGACCTGAGAGAAAAGGATTAAAGTTGACCTTGACAAACTCACCCTTCACCCAATTCGGGATCCCTGAAAAGAGATGGCAAGAAAGCCCCAGAGGAAGTGAAACAAGTTTATAACGGTTTGCTCTTACTGCGTCCTCTTTTCTCCAGATGCCGCAGAGGCCATCCCAGCTCCTGGGAGCTCCTGGAAGCCTTCGACCCGCCTTAAGCACTTGCTCCAAGGAGGCACCCTTCCTCTCCGACTCTCTGAGGAGCCTCCTCTCTATTTCCTTTGTCCCTTTGGCTCTAGGAACCAATGGGGGTGGTGGACCTCCCGGTGGTGGTGGTGGTGGGGGTCACAATTCTGCTCCTTTAGGCATTCAAACCCCTCCCCCATTTCCTGTGTCCCAAATGACCTCACGGCCAAGCTTTTGGGGCACCTCCCTTTATTCCCAGGGCAGGAAGCAGGAGGGGGCTAGAGGGAGGATCTGGGCTGGGGAATTGACGTGAAGTGTTTGTCCAGCCCGGTACCCAGGGAATTCCTGGGGGCTCTTGCATATGGGCTTGAGCGCGGGGTGGGGGATAGGTGGGGGGGGGGGGCTGGAGTTAAGTCCTTAAGCTCTTTAGCCAGTGTCTCATCTAGCAGCTCAGCTCATCTGGCCCTGCTGCGTGGAGGTGGGGAGTGCTGGGGAGGACTGGTTCGCACAACTCTCGCAGGGGTCCACCCAGCCGTGTCGGGACCCTCTCCCCCGGCACACATAGTCCACACCCAAGGTGATAGCTCTCTGGACATGCTGCCAGCTGGATGCCCTGGGTGGGGAGGGGGAGGAGGGCAAGAGCAGAGGCGGGAGTCCCCATCCATCCGGATCCTACACCAGGGCCCAAGACCACCTCCCTCGGGGTGGGATTCACCCCATTTCCCATCTCAGGCCCCTTCCGGGCCGGGTTGCACTCACCGAGGGTACTCAGCCCCAGGAACAAAAGCCGCAGCAAGCCGGTCGCGGGGCGCCCGGGCAGGGAAACCATGGCACTCCCTGGCCGGCCGGCGTCAGGGGCACCGGCTCCGGGACACACCGAGCGACAGGTGCTGTGCGCCTGGGCAGCCGGGGCGGACGCGGAGCCGGGCCACTGACACCAGGGCGGCTCTGGCCGGAGTCTGTGCGCGCGTGTCCCGCCGGCGGGTGGGGACCGGCGGGGACAGGGGGGCGGGGCGTCGAGGGGGCGGGGAGGTCGCGGTCTTCCCGGGCGGGGCGCGCGGGGACCCGCCGCCGGGGGTGGGGGCGGCTCGCGCGCTGCGACGGCGGATCCCGCGGCCTCCACCCGGGCAGGACGCAGGGTGAGGGCGGGTAAGTGGCCGCGGGGCCGGGGCAAAGGGGAGCGGTGCTGAGCCGCCACCCTGGGCGGCCGGAGGCCTGGGGACCCCCGCGCCGGGAGCCACCCGCACGCCCGCCCCGGCCTCGGGGGTGGCGCGCCCCCGCCTGCGGAGGAAGCCTCGGGGCCTCCGCGGGGTGTGCGGCCGGAGGGGCCCGGTCTCCCGCCTGAACGCACGGCTCTGCTCGGGGCCCGGCGGGGGGAGCGGCGGCCCGCGGCCTCCGCCCGCCCGGCCCCGCCCCGCCCCCGCCCCCGCCCCGCAGGGGCCCCGCGGCCGCCCCCGGGCAGGGGACCTGTGCACCTGCGGCGGCGGAGGGAGGGGCGGTCGGCAGGTCCTCCGAGCCTCCCTAAGCCCCCGGGGCCCCGGCTCTGGTGCCGCACACCCCGGGTGGGGAAAGGACCGGCGCGAGGAAGCCCCAGGAGCTGAGCGGGAAACTGAGGACAGGAGCCTGGCTCCCAGCTCCTCGCCTCGGAAAAGCCTGGTTTGTGGGCCTCACGCCGACTGCGGAGGAGGGGGCGGCTCTGGGAAGGTAGAGCGCACAACGCCCCCCGTTTCTTTATCCCCGTATCTTCGCTGCCCCCCATCCGTCATCAGGCCCTCTCTGATCCTTGGATTTCCGGGGCCAGCTCTTGTTGGCTGTGAATTTAATTTAACCGTCCCCCCCATCCCCCCCCCGCCAGGCGGCCCACAGGCACCTCGGCGCCCTCTGGCGGCCGCAGCCCCTCACAGAAGGGCGCGCACCTGTTCCTGCTTCTCCGTCCAACAGCCCAAACACAGATGCTTCAAACATCCGGGCACAGCTTAGGGCACAGCTTAGCCACCGAGCAAAGGTCACCGGGGCCAGAAAGCAGAACAACGAATTCTTGGCGCTGCCTGTTCTGGGTGCCAGTTGACTGGGAGGAAGAGCAGCCAGGCCTCCGATTCCATTTATTCCACACGGTTCTGCTCTATTTTAACACGGAATGTGGTCCTTGTGCCCGACTGCGCAGGGGCTTTTTCTACACCGCGCCCCGTAGACCTTCTCAGGTGCCTCTTCCTAGTGTGACTTGCCTGGCTGCGCTTCAAATACCTGCCATGCAGTGGCTTTGAGAAATGCCTGTGCAAACACTAGACCGCTCATGCAACCCCTGGAATCCAACACTTGGCAGCTCAGCGGCAGCCAGCAAAGGCAAAGAAAAGAGAACTGCGGGTCTCATACACTTATGCAAGGCCATACACACTTGGATTGTCAAGCGATTGCATGTGTGTGTATGTGTGTGTGTGTGTGTGTACTTGGGGGCTGTTGGTTTGGTTTTTCTACTCTACCACACTCAGATTTTTCTTTAGTTTACAGTGCAAACCACCACCTCCTGTATACATCCCTCCTTCATTTCCAGACCAGGGTTAAGTGACCCCAAATAAGGAACTCCTTCCAAGAAAGATAGTACAAAGTCTGTGGTCTGTGTCCAGGAATGCCAAAGCATCTAATTACACGAGTTGTGCTCAGCCCTATCAAGTGCTATACAAGGTAGAGTCTCAATATTCACTCTCTGTAGCTGACTTTTCCTTTGGAATGTAGATCCTAAATAACTTGCAACATCGGAAGTAAAGCTGGAACCAAAGATGGGTAGGCAGCAAATCTCTCCCTGTGACACAGGGGCAGGCCCTTCGGGACTCTCACACTGCCCTCATCCCAACCAAAAAATTTCCCACTCACTCCTATCCCAACCATTTCTTTCTGCTGATCCCGTGTCAAAGTGACAGAAATTAGCAGAACAGCTCCATTCCTTTCTGAAAGCTTTTGCCAGGATGCATTTTAGGATGAACACTGCTCCCTGCCCTTGTGTAATGTGCGGATGTTGGCAGATAACCTGTGAGTGACCTGGAGACTGCTTCCATAAACGTGTTGCATGCAAGAGCTAAGTTCATAGTTTGATATGTTAAGAGACATGCAGGCCACTAGCGTTTCTTCAAATCATACTTCACCTCATCTCTCAAAATGTGCTAATTCTTAGTTTGAACATGGTGTCTCCATCCCCCCGCCCCCGACTCAGATATATGGCTTCATTAAGGGTCCACTTTTTGTCTTTAGCAATGCTCATATAGTTATATGATACCCTGTTACCCTCTCTTATAGACTGTTCTGGCCAAAGAAACTGGATATTCAGTTATCAGCAATCTCCTTTCTTCCCAAGCTTCATTTCCCAGTGTTGTTTCATCCTCTTGCCCCTACTGCTCACCCATTCCAAGCCAAATGGTGAAAACATACTGGTTCCTGGATCCAGCCTTGGCCATCTTCTCTGTGCTGCCCACAGTGCTTTAGTAGTAATGCCTCATTCTCAGGTAGATTAAAACAGGTAAAATTAGGTAGATTTAAAACATCCACACTAAATGTTCCCCCAAATGACCACCCCAGCTAAGTAACAGCAACAGGGAATGGGATAGAAAGAAAAATGCACAAAGCATGATGGCTTTGGGGTTGGTTGGTGGCAAAGTTTGGGGGATACCAAAGTTTGGTAATGCTTTTTCCTGCAGCACTTAGCACTGAATATTAAGAAATTACTGCTAAAAGATGGTCAGTAGAGCCTCAGTCTTTTAAGTCTGTAACTCCAAGTTCTAAAGAAAAGCAAAGTCATGAAAATTCCCTAAGGCCCATTCCTACAGACTGTGCCCAGGGAGAAGAGGTGCTACACTCAAATTCCAAGAATATTTATACTCCCCCTGAACTAGTATCCATTGTTAAAATTTGTTTTGTTAAGTAAGCTCTACAACCAACGTGGGGCTTGAACTCCCAACCCCAAGATTAAGAGTCACGTGCTCTACCAATGGAGCCAGCCAGGCACTTCAACTAGCATCCATTTTTAGCAGCTCATATCAGAAAACAGCCAACTGCTTAAACCTAGACTAAAATGACATTAATAAAAGTCATCCCATTGATTAAAAGCACTCCAGCCATTCGAAAAATAAGCATCAACTAAGAGGTATCAGGATGAGAAAAATCACTGATTTGAGTCATTCAGGTTGTAGGAAGGAGAACATTTTTTTATCAATATGCAATTTTATCTTCAATAGTATAAAAAATAGGGAAAATTATAGCTCTTACCTGGATTTGCAGTCCATCTAAAGTAGAGAACCTGAGAGATGTTGGGGCAGTCATTAAAGATAAATCACCAATCTAACAAGTCCCGGCCATGAGACCAAAGTGACCCTTGACTGCTCTTCTAGTAAGCTCGTTGTTAGCCATGAGCACTAACCACTAAGTGGAGTGCTAGGTGATGCAAAGAAATCCCCGGAAGGTCTAAATGAGATAGCTACTTTCCTAATGGACTGATACCTTACAACTTCCTTTTCTGTGCATCACTCAAAAAAGTTTTTGAATGTTTCTATTGGATCTTCTCTTTTTTTTTTATAAACAGCATGATGACCACACTTCTCCACTTGTACTCTCATTTGAGAGAGCTGCCTTTGACTACTGAGTATAAAGATGAGGAATGAAAATCTCTTACAAATTCACGTACTTAGGGTCAGAAGGAACATCCCAGTCATTTAAAAAGAAAGAAAGAAAAGAAAGAAAGAAAGAAAGAAAGAAAGAAAGAAAGAAAGAAAGAAAGAAAGAAAGAAAGAAAAATGAAATGTCCAGTGACTTTGGTACTCTGACAAGAAATAATGATATTGGTCAGCGGGGTACAGAGAGTAAGTGAAGATATCCTACTCCCTTTGTTCTGTACATTCTCAGCAGAAAAGTCAGAGCACAGTCCCCAGTGCCAGTGAGACTATACCCTGCTACAAAAAGTTCAACTAGTACTCCAAGAGGTCAAGAATTACTTTAATATTTTTTTTCTTAAAAAGTTTAAATGGCAACACAACCGTAAAGTTGGTACATCACAGAAACAAAGGTCTTTGCAGGCAACACTGATTGGGAATAGCAAAACACTTGGGTGGTGAAAAAAATGAGACTCTAAATTATATACAATTGTAGCTAAGGGTGATATTGAAAAACAGTCTTATTTACTGTGACTCAAGATTTAACTTGCCATTATCTATTGCTTATTTATTCAGGGTTGTAAATAATACTTATATAGAGACATAGAGATGTGTAAAAATGAAACATTGTGAAAAAAATACAATTTTTCAATTTCATATGAAACTCAAAGTATAAGTTTTGTCCAATATGGAATGTACCTACATTTGTTTATATCAGGGCTCTAAAATCCATTTAAAAATTGTTTTTGTTTTTAAAAAAGAAAACAGCTGACCCACCATGCAAGTTCGCTGTATATCTTACTTGCTCAAAATGAGCATTTTCAGGTGAGGTCTGTTTTTTTTTTTTTTTTCTGCCCAAAGTCTAGTATGATTCTGTAGAAGTTGTACTGGCCCAATGGTGGCAAGAGTTCCCGTGAAGAGTCTGATGGCAGCATCTGGATGAGAGGCAGTCTGAGTAATGCCAAGTGAGTAGAGAAGAGGGAGGTAAGAGCCCAAATCCTTATGAAGGATGACATTCAGTTGTTAAATTTTAAGGGGTACCCAATGGCTTTTTCCAGGCACTCGACTAAAGAGCCAGCGGAAAGAAAATCCCTCTCTACTTCTACAAATTTGATATAGATGGATTTGGGGGAAATTCCGGGATCCACGATACAGTTTTGAGATAAAAACCCATTAATACCAACCCAATCTTTGCTGAAGGTTTTGGCATTTGCCTGGAAATGTAAAAATAAGCATTGCTGGAGAGTCCTGACCTCAGCAATCCCGAGGTAGCAATAGATTATTCGGGTGGGTTCGATTTCCACCTGTAATGAGGCTTGCGCTGAGAGGGTCTCCAAGTCAACCCGGCCCTCCTTTCCTGGGTCCAGAGGACGTCGCTCCAAGTGCGGTGAAGGGGGCCTCTCAATACATTCTTCGTAGCCAATGGCATAAAGGCCTGGACTTTTGGGAATGCCTCCTGGTAATAAATATTGAACCACGTTCCCACCAGTTGGTTTGGAATGGGCAATGGGTATCCAGTCAATTTCCATGTGCAGCTCCAGGCATCTAGCCTCACTAATGGTGATCTCTAAGAATTTGTAGTAAACATTTTTCCAGTTCATTTTCTGCACACGGGTCATAATGATTCGTCCCTCGGGCTTCTCGGAGTTGAAGTACTCCCGGAGTCGCTTGCCAAGGGGCACCTGGGAGCTGATCTCAGCATAATGATAACGGATGTCCTCTTTCCAACGGGTGTTATAACCAATTCCAAAAATGGCCAGTTTATTAGAAAGATGAAGCCTTGAAAAGTCTGTCCAGCTCTGAAATAGTTCCCATTTCAATTGTACTGATTCCAAAATCTGTACAATGTTTTGCATGATGTCTCTCTTCCTAGAAAGAGAAATACAAAGTCAAATTCCTCAGGGATCAGCACGGTCCAACAGAACTTTCTGCATTGATGCAAATGTTCTAGATCTGTGCCATCCGATATAGTAGCCATTAGCACTTAAAATGTGATCAGTGTGAGTGACACAGGAGATTTTTAGTCATAACTGGAAATTACGGTTAAATAATGGCTACCCTATTGGACAGTGCAGGTCTAGATAAACACAGCATTAAAATCTGAGAAATACTCTTTCCTAGGAAGTTTCTAGGAATTATTGATAAGCTGCTTACCATTACTTCTATAGTCTGGCTGTATTAAACTTAGTAACTATTGATATGTAAGACCCTAAGATTTCAGAAACCCAAGGATTGAGAATTTAAATTTTTTTAATTTGTTAATTCCAGTATAGTTAACATACAGTGTTATATTAGTGTCCGGCGTACAATACGGTGATTCAACACTTCCATACAACAGCCAGCGTTCCTCACCACAAGAGCCCTGCTTAATCTCCATCCCCCATTTCCTCCCCCCCCACCCCCACTCCCCTCTGGGAGTCATCAGTGTGTTCTCTATAGTTAGAGTCTGTTTCTTGCTTGGTCTCTCTTTCTCTTCTCCCTTTGCTTGTTTGTTTTCCTTCTCAAGTTGTATACAGTGAAATCGTATGGTATCTATCTTTCTCTGACTGACTTATAAAGTGGCTATTACAATGCATATGATGGCCTTCAGACCTAAGTACCAAAAGCAGATGAAGGATGTTGTATTAAAAAAGCTATCCACTGGGATCCCTGGGTGGCGCAGTGGTTTAGCGCCGGTCTTTGGCCCAGGGCGCGATCCTGGAGACCCGGGATCGAATCCCACGTCAGGCTCCCGGTGCATGGAGCCTGCTTCTCCCTCTGCCTGTGTCTCTGCCTCTCTCTCTCTCTCTGTGACTGTCATAAATAAAAAAAATAAAATAAAAAAATAAAAAAATAAAAAATAAAAAAATAATAATAAAAAAAAAGCTATCCACTATTACTTAAAGTAATGAATAACTTAATTTCTAATCTGGAAATTCTTAAGAGTTCAGTTACTTTGACCCATTCATGCTTCCTGTAGGAAATGTACAACAGATTATGACTAATGACCTGATGCAGAAACAAAATGGTATTTTCTTCTATTTGTCTGAAATTCATTACTACTCCCAAATTTAGAAGAATGGTCAGTTAAGCACAGAATCAAGATCTGAGAATTCAGATGGAAAAGGTTTACATCAAGCTTAGGATTTAAAAGGGAAAAATGAATGAATGGAGACTACTCTAGAAAAAAAAATTGTTTTTAAGATTTTATTTACTTATTCGTGAGACACACACACAGAGAGGCAGAGACATAGGCAGAGGGAGAAACAGGCTCTTTTCCCTGCAGGAGCCTGATATGGGACTCGATCCCAGGACCCTGGGATCATGACCTGAGCCAAAGGAAGATGCTCAACCACTGAGCCACCCAGGAGCCCCTAGAAAATATTTTCTAAAGGGGAACAAAAGTATAGAAATAATTTTGATTTGGATAGTAACAGGCAAAACATGCTGGGAAGTTCTTGTTTCACATGCTGCTTAACTCATATAATTCTAACTGATACTTCATGATAACTCATGTGCTATATATGAGGGGATATGTAATTACAAGTTTGTTTCTCAGGTATGGCAAAACTTTGATATTGAAAGATTGAAGTCTGTTAAATAATAACCTAGCAACAGTCTCTTACGGTTTATATCGTTACAGGTTTGAGTTACAAAAATATTCAACGACCACCCTTATGTACAATCAAATGTAAGCAAGAGACGAGGAGGTATATGGTTGCTAACAGGTTCTTGGAAGGAGATGGATGCTTGAAAGTTTCATATTAAATCCTTGCATCTTGGGGGTGCCTGGGTGGCTCAGTTGGTTAAGCATCTGCCTTTGGCTCAGGTCATGATCTCAGTGTCCTGGGATTGAGCCCCACATTGGGCTTCCTGCTCAGTGGGGAGTCTACTTCTCCCTCTGCCTCAGCCCCTCTCCTTCCCCTCCCTCTCCTCCTCCCCCTGCTTGTGTTCTCTCTCTTGCACTCTCTCTCCCTCTCTCCAATAAATAAATAAAATCTTAAAAAACAACAACAACAACATAAATCCTTGTATCCTCTAGGGGCAGAGTTTGGGGAACAAACTGGGGGAAGCTTCCACATAGTCATTTTCAATCTGTCCTCTTAACACTCTTTGGCTTTCTTTGCAAGATGACAAGAGACTAAGATTTTGTTATCTGCTGCTGCTTGGAGCCAAAGACTGCCCTAGACTCCTCTTCCACTCTTTAGTTTGTTATGAAAGTTCTCAAGCTTTGGAGTGGCCATCAAGATGAAATCACTGCATTTCTGGAGAACTGTTTTTCTTCTCAGAGTACACAAAGGCACTCAGTGATTGCTAATGTTTAGCTTGGTGTTCATGAGGTGAAGATATAGGACCGTGCTTCTACATGAATGCTTTAAAGAAAATCTCTCTTTTGTAGCCACCCAGCTTCCTCATCTTCTTTTGAAATGCTACACTGATCACAAGGACTAGGCTAAGGAGTTGAGATGGACGGCAGAGATTTTCATCTGTTCTGCTCATGATATATCACAATGCCTGACATAAAGTAGGCACTTGACAAATAAACATTGGCTAAATGAGATTAGGTGACTCTTCTTTATGGATGAAGGATGGTATATTTTAACTACAGGCTATGTCCACTAGCTCAGGCTAATCCCACCTATACTTAGAGGGGAAAAAAAAAATCCAATGCCCAGATGGAATTATTTTACTGAGCACTTTCCTAGCCCTAAATAATCAATAAGGAACAGTTCTGAAGAAACTTGCACTGGAAAATAAATGGCCTAATAAGAACCACTAAAATCTCTCACCATGTGAGCTAGAACCTGGAGAGCAAAGCTGTCTATTTCTATGGAACCTGTCAGTGTCTTGCCCTGCTGCTCTGATGCCAACCTGAAGATCCCTGGGCCTAAGACTCATCACATTTTCAAAACTATGGAGCACAGTGAAAATGAGACCCAGTTATTTAAATGGCTCTAGAAAACTGTCTATTTTAGTTCCTGATTTCTAAAGTTCCAACCACGGGAAAAGTGCAGATGGTTTGAGGATGACACTAATTCTGTGAGGTCTGAGTTCACATCAACTGGGCCTCCCCTGTAGTGAAACGAGGTGGTGGTGAAAGGACGAGTGGGATGTTTTAGTGAAGGAGAGACAATGGCCTTTTTGGGGACTAGGGGTTTGAAGGTAGGGACTAGTAATAATGCATCTTTAAAAATATTCATCAAAGTTTCCCTTCCTTTGGGACATTCTGATGTCACAATTTGAAAACAGACCCATTTCCTAACAAGAGATGGCCTCAGTAAAACCTACTGACTTGAATCATAAACTTCTTTTTTGAGGGGTAGGGAGTGGTTATAATTTTAAGGAATAATCCTGGATCCCTAAACTTTCACCATCTCCCCAGATATGGGAGCAGCTGGTACTCTGGTCCCACAGATACTCTGAAGACAGTAGCATTCGCAAAGCAGGTGGTGGTGGTGTTTTGCTCAGTGAAAACCACAGTTTCCTTTTCATATTGCTTGTTGCTTATCATACCACCTTGCCTGTTCTCCTTTTTTCCCACCATATCCCTCAAACATCAAGATCACATATGTGGAATGAAATACAGAAAGAAAAAAAAAAAATGGGTGCTGTCAATGCTTCCAGGTGACCAGGTGGGAAAAAAAATGGTGTTCCTCTACTTTTCCCATAAATTTATCTTTTAATATATTTGTTTCATACATTTAATCAGGGACTTCCTTAAAGTTAAGGAATAATTTCCTTAAAGTTATTGAAAAGAACCACAAACATAGTATCACTGAAACCCAGACACCTGTGCTATCCTTACAGAAGAGATACTGCTGAGGAGGGAGGATCAGGTGAAGTAGCTAGCCAGTGGAAGGAGCCTGGCCCCAGACTTCATCTTTCTTCTGGCAACTGCTTTCTTTTCCAAATGTATAAAAAGGCCACCTACGAGCTTGCTTTTTGATCCCCAAAGTGTAATATCATAAGGAAATGTAAGTGCCCCTCTGGCTCTCCTGTCACCTCACCCAACCCCAGCTAAACTCAGGGCCATTTTTGTGCTATAATTAAACACCTACATATCTACATCCGCGTACGGGGAAGCACCATCAACACATTTATTTTTGTGTAATACATTTATTTCTTTATGTTGTATACAAAATCCTCAACATTTTAGATTAAATACTGGCAAATGTAAGCTAAGAGGATGAGAAGCAGTGAGTACACTTGCTCCCTCAGTGGTACGGCAGTTACTTTCCATACGTGCCTACAGTTACTTTCCATACGTGCCTAATGACAGCAGTGACTTTCTAGGTCTTCCCAACAGTCATTAAATTCAGGTAAATATACTTTGTAGAAAGAAGCATCTACTTACTGCGCTTCTTCAGAAGACTCTTGTTTTATTTTTAATGTTCTCTTTGTGACAGGTATTTCATCTGAAAAGCAAGGTTTTTGAAACAAATTATATTTTTCTAAGTAGCATACATTTAGGCAGAGAAGTAACTGTGTTGACTGTTCATCCCATACTTTCCAATGCAAGGCTGTAATTGTAGTGTCAAACCCTGTCCAATGCCAGATTTATAAATATAACTCTTTTATAATGAGATGCATACATTTATATGCAAGATCAGAAACCAGCTCTACAAGTATAAAATTCTTCAAGGTCACCAGTGGATTGCTAGCTAGGAGCTCAAAGCTTAATTTCACTGCAAACATGATTTTTAAAGGAACGAGAATGAAAAACGATTCTCTTCTATTTAGATTTTCTGTGTAGGTTTTACAGAGCAATTTTTCCCCCAGTATCATGATCAATATACTCTGGACATTATTTTTTCCCTAAGGTTTGGGTGACTTAACTCTTTAGGGCAAAACTCCCAGTAATGGGATGCCAAAGCAATTTAGACCTTATTACCTTAGAAATTAAAAGGCAGCAATCACTTGGCATCAGCCCTTTTTATTCTCCCAATCTTTACATTGCGTTACTCTTACAGCTTTACAGCCTCTTTCTTCTCTCCCTTCCAATATTGAGAGATTTTTTTAAAATAGCATTTGTAGGAGATATTAGCATTTAATCCTTTTTCTTTTCTTTTCTTTTTTTTTTTTCCTTTTTCTTTTCAATTAGCATTTCTTTATCATCAGGAATTCTATGAAATGGTGCCTATGGATTTTTATCTTAAGCTAGGAAAGCACATTTAGAGTGCCAATCCTACTTATACTTCCTTGGAGGTTGCCTGAGCAACTCACTGAGGAGTCGGAACATTTACTTAGAAGTGAACACTCATCACATAACTTGCTATCAAAGCACAGTGGCTGCAGCAGAAACTGGATTCGGACTTCCAAAGTATGAAAATCCAAACTGGAGCATTTGTTGCAAAAAGAAACAACAAATATTAGGCCACCCCAGTTTGGACTTGACGGCCAGGAGTTTTGTTTTCCATCTTTAATGCTAAGTCTAAATAATTCCAGCTACTGCTTGGATGGGATCCTTCATGAATTGTGAAGGAGTATGATCACTGACAAAATTCAAAAGCAGCTCTTTTCAAGATAAAATGAGTCTTCTCTTCCTTTTTTTGTTTTGTTTTGTTCAGACTCAAGACTGGCTGGGGACCTTTTCCAAATCATAAAGAGAAAAGTATTTGGAATAAATACTCATAAGATACTCATAAGCAGTTGAACCAAGAGTATCAAAAGATACTCATAAGCAGTTGAACCAAGAGTTAACATTCTTGGCAGTTGTCTTAGAACCAGGGATATACAGGATATTTTAAACTGCTTAGGATTCCACCTGCCACTGATTAGGAATTCTGTGTCTTTAGGACTTTTGCTGGTACCCAAATCCAAATGACCAACACCAAGCACCTGTTGGCAATTTAGGGCTAAACCAACAATGCCCCCAAGTAAGGCTGGCTGTGTGCCTGATGCTGACAATGGGAACGGTACCAGAAGAAATGACAGATACTAAGTACCGGTGCATATATAAAGATGTACACACACACACACACACACACACACACACACACGCGTGCACATGTTAAGTATCATATATATTGGCTTTCTTACCCAATTCCTGATCTGTTGGATAACCATGGAGATCCTGACTGTGGTTTCCCCAGTCCTCCTGTGGATACTCCTCCATAGTGCTGCCATCTGACTCCAGCTCCTGGTACAAGCCACTACTGTTAATAAGTACAGGCTGGCAGGGCTGAGCATCCCATCCTCCCTGACCAAACACCTGTTCCAACTGTTCAAATGTGTAACTGCTCTTTCTTTTCCCAACACCATGTTCTTTCACCCGACTGTAACACCTGCGAAGGGTCTAAGACACAAAGTCTTTTGTTATTCCTTTAAAGCTGTACTTCCTCTTCCAGGTACGGACCACAGATATTAATTACTATGAGACAGACACAGACAGACAAACAAAGACACATTGTTACAGGAATGCTAGATTTCAAATTCATTATCATATTAGAAAAAAAAACTAATTTAGCATTTACTCAAACAGGTTATAATTCAAACAATTATTTTGCAATTAATCATCCATTTAACAACAAGAAACATTACAACATTATTGCATGTACCCCATACACATATTTTTATACCCCCACCCCCCCCTTTAAAAAGAATAAGAAAAAAAAAAAAAAAAGAAAACAAGAAATACCAGCCAGCCAATAGGATGCACACCTGCCACAGAGGAGAAAGAGCTGCTATTGTGCCCAGAATTTGGAAAAAGTGAGGGAAGGGAAGAGAGAAAGAAGAATTTCCCAAAGCAAAGAATATAACCTTCCTTACGCTTAAGAAGGAAAACAGAGTAAAAAACAATGCCTCAATGAATCAGCTAGTAAAACATATTACTTACAAAGTCTGTAGTCCTTACTAACTTACTCTGTCTTTAGGGAAGTTGCTAAAATTTGAAGGAAGTCAAATCAATTATGCTACAGATCCCTAGTCTCAAACATCAACCATCAAGAAACAACACACTACTTTCTACAGCGAAAGATCAGCCAATACTCATCCATTCTATCAACTCAAACTGCCAGCTAAACAAACCAACAAAGGAGGCCAATAATTTCCTTTTTTGTTGGGGGGGGGGGGGGGGGAGTGAGGTGGAGGGGTATCATTTCATTTCTTCCTCTGCCTTGTGCCACACAACAAATAAAAATCACTACTTGAGTCCACAGAGAAAACCTGGATGATTTTATTATCTTGCACAACCCTTCCATTTTCATCTTGGTCTTCTAATGAGTACTTCTGATCATTTGCCCAGTTTTGTTAATGAATGGTAGATCTTAATTCTGTCTTACATGATATTTTAAAGGATAAATCATGGACTTAGTCCTGGCATCCAAATTTAGTTAGTGCTACCCAGTGTCTATACCATCTCTGCTCCTCTTGCTCCTTCTAATCTCCCTTCTACTTGACTGGCTTTCACTCATAGTTTTCTTGAGAGACAAGACCTTTTCTCCTTGATGGCTCCCAAATATTTTCTAACTCAACTGTGCAAAACCAGCTCACCTCAGACTTAATTTATATGCATTAGCCAGACTGTCAGTTTCTCCTAAACGTGAGATTACTTTCCACTTTCCATAAGCCAATATATCACATATTCTCACCAAACTAAACCAACTCTTAATAATCTTTACAGAGCCTCCATGAAAGTTCCATATCTACAAATCACAGTTGACAAACGACAAGAAGACACTGTCAAATACTTTGCAGATCTGTCCCCTGAGAACAGAAATCCAGATGGGCAAAAGGAATAATAAAAGCATGACACATAGGATGATCTTCCTCGGACATAAACACAGCCGTGATTAGTTACCCCATCTGAAAACCAGACAGTCTACCCCCTGCATAAGCACCTGCCTTTCTCCCTTTCTAGAGAGCTCTTCTGGTGCCTCAAATGATGCCTTAAAGAACTGAGATTTCTGATTAATGCACTCAAAAAAAAGTGTGCCCTCTTTGCCTTTCTAAAACATAGTTACAACTACATAATACAAAACTTTCTAGAAAAAAATCAGACATGAACTTGGGAAATGTGTCTCAGGGCAACCCTTCCAATGGAAGGAGACATATGCCTGCAGCAGATCTCATTTGACTTTCTATATATTCCCCTTTCCCAGTGCCCTCTGCCCTCCTTGCAGGGATTGGAATTTGAATTGCAAACATCTCCTGCCAATTTATTTTTATCTCACAATGTCTAGCTGCTGCCTCCAAGAACATCCCAACCACTCTTTTCAACTGCTCCAAGGACCGTACATGGAGAGTCCCGGCCGTGTCCCTTTCACCCTTCCAAGGCCATAAATGGAGATGCCACTGCTCACTTCTGACTGGCTGCCTAGAGAAAAGCATGCAGCACACCAAAGAGCCCAGTCAGATCTGTCACTAAGGGTTATTTCAGAAGTCAAGAAATAAAACTGATGTTCCTTTGAAGAAAGGTGCCACGGTTATCAGGATGGGATACAGACATAAACAAAGCCACCAATCTCTGACAATATACATGGTGGGAAACCACAGAAAAGATTTACTTTCTTTGAAACCACCAAATTGAGCTTGAAATTTTAATTGGCTTATGTAATTTGAATGAGGAAACTACCAATATCTAATGATTTTAGATACAGAAGAACAGTCAGATGATGTATATTTCATCAAAAAAGGCTAAAAGATCTTGCCACCTCTTTCATCGTGTACTTTTGTAATACACTTTGATAGTGTAATATGCTGATATGTAAAATATCTATCAGGGGCCTGGAAGACAAATGTTTAGTAATTCCTAAATCTGTATGATAGGAATTCACTATATTGAAATCCTGTTGAAAGGATTTCCAAATTGATTTAACTCTCTTAAGACATAAATACACATAAGAGGTACCTTCTGGGTTCAGTAAAAGATCCACAGATCCAAGGAGAAGCTGTTTGGATAGGACACATCAACTAAGATAGAGGAAAAAAAAAAGTGAGAACTCAAATGTGAACTTGACCACCACTATAGGAGACACTGGAATTCAGTGAAACTGCAGGGACTTTAGAAACGGATAAAAGGAGCATATGGAGACCTTCCAATCAGAAAAAGTTACACTTCCCACGCTCTAAATGATGAACCAAAGCAGGCAATTAAATGACTGTGTGTCTGTGTCAACAGTCCTAAATAAGCCAACTTAAAAACCTACTCTAAATCTGAGATTAAGAGAACACTCCAGAATCTAGGAAAAACAAAGTCTCACCTCCCATTTCAGACAGCCATGCCAAACCCAACAAGAATCTCAGTTTAGCCTACTTGGAAGGCCATTTCCTACTCAACACAAATACCTTACTTCCCTTCCTTCTTTCTTTACCTCATTCGTCTTAGAAATGTGCGGTAATTTAATGTCTAGCATTTATTTTTTTAATTAAGATCTAGGTGGTGGGGGGCAGAGAACGGGGAAAGAATCTGCTTAAAATTATTAAAGACTAGTCTATTCACAATTGAAAAGAATAATATTATCCTTATTGGCTAGAAATTTCCATGGTAAATCAATCTTACAATCTCACTGGGGAAGAGGAGTGAGATAACACTGTTATCCTGAATGAAGTCAGAGGGATAGAGGTCAGGAGGAGTCAAGAAAATCTGGAAAGAAGAACTAAAGCATAGGTAACAACTAGATCAGGCGGTCAAATCAGAGGAGTTCCTAGGGAACCGATTTGGAAGAAATGCCAAGTGTTTAATGATTCTGACAGGAAAAGCACCAGAGAGAAGACTAAAGGTTGCCCCATTACCAAAGCAGGGAGGAAAATAGGTGGCTGACAACTGATAATTTATAGACAGAGCGAAAGTTTTATCAAAGTGTAAGATTGGAGTGAAAGGAAATGAGAGAATAAAGATGACATTCATTGTGGATGAATGTAAGGAGGGAGAGGGTCTGGGGGGGGAGGGGAGCAGGTAAACAAAGGCAGGAGTCTTAGATTGGCAGGATTGGGGATTTAACGGCAGCAATGCAGAGAGACCCAAGGTTACAGTACACGTAACATTAAATACAGTGCACAATGCAGCTATCTTGCCAAAGTAAGTAAATCCAGTATTGGGTTGTATAAGCAGAGGAATCACATGTAAGCTATGAAGGTGGCTCTTCCTCTCTATTCAGCATCGGTGAGGCCACAGCTGGAGCACAGCATTCAGTTCTGGGCATCGAACCAGCTACAAGAGAGGGAAATTGTAGAGTTCAGAAAAGGGTAAATAAAATAATGAAAGGCTTGGAAAATAAGATCTATCAGCAGGGCCAGTGGTTTCATCAAAGCCCTTCCTGACATTATATAAAGCTACTTTGGAGGGGGGAGTGGTAAAAACAAGGTCTCTTCCATTTCAGTGTCCTCCAATCCCTCGTTGACTTTCAGGAAGTAGAAGGAATTGAATCCTTCCCTGGTGTAGCAAAGTAGGAAAGCAAATGAAATAAATCGTATGGGCATATGCCAACCAATTCTGATACTGGCTCAATCATTTTCTCAAAATTTGCCCCATTGCATATAATCATAAGATAATCACCATGACAAAACCACTGTTCTCATAGAACTGACTACAGGTGGGGCAGGGTCTATATAATGAGGAACAGAAATAAGGCTTAATAACTACATAAATGTGTTGTTTAGAAAACACTGGCATGATCAGTCTAAGATGTCAGATGAAAAATAAAGTCAAACTGCAAGGCAGGACAGCTTAGTTATAGCAGGAAACAATGTTATAAGAAAAAACAAGCAGTGAAACAGATTTTCAAAGGCAGTTGTCAAACTGGACATCCTAGGAATGGATTACATAGTTGATCTTAACCCTCTGGCAACTAAATATAAATTTGAGACTTTTTTAACCTCAATGATTACATAAAGAATATACTTATTTACAGTCCAAGTCTTAAAAATCACATATTATATTTCACAAGAGATAGGGGAAATTATCCTGGGGGCAAATCTCCAATGACTAATTGTTTATAAAAGTGTTAAAAACAATACCTCAGCCTAAGATGTGTATTTTGCAGCAAAAAAGTCTTTGTGAAATATATCTATCTTCCTTCTTCCTTTAAAGTTACTGCTTTAGGGGCACCTGGGTCTCTCAGTGGTTAAGCGTCTGGTCCTGGGATCAAGTCCTGAATCGGGCTCCCCCTGGGGAGCTGCCTATGTCTCTGTCTCTCTCTCTCTGTGTGTAATAAATAAATAAATAAATAAATAAATAAATAAATAAATAAATATTGCCTTTGGCTCAGGTCATGATCTCCTGGGATTGAGTCCCACATCAGGCTTTCTGCTCAGCGGGGAGCCTGCTTCTCCTTCTGGCCCTCTCCCAACTTGTACTCACATTCTCTCTCTCTCAAATAAGTAAATACATTCTTAAATAATTTATTGCTTTATTGTAACTGTTACAACTAGTTGCTCTTAGTTAATGAGGCAACAACAACAAAAAAAATCACTGAATTTATTGCAATATCTTGTAGAGAGAGTCAAAATTTCTTTAGCTAGCTTTAGTTTTTTACTGTGAGCACAAAAGGTGGAAAAAATTTTAAAAACCTGAAAGAGGAGACACGAGTAAATAAACACATTTCTGCACACAGTAAGAGGGATATTATGAGTACAGCATATATCACTGCATATGTGTGTATATTACACAGAGCTGTGACTAATGATTAGGAAGTCACTGGAGGCACAATCCATCCGGGGCCAGCAGAAGTTTTACTACCTGTTTTCTTAGGTTCTCCAATATATCAAAATCTGGCAAACTGATTTGCCAGGCACCTAAATCCTTTAAAACCAAGCAACTCTAAATCCCAACAAATCAAAACCAAAACCAAAAATATAGCACTTGTTTCACACTCCCCCAGTCCTTAGCGCTACAGGGGAGGTTTTGGCAAGTGAAAGATATTTTTTTCTTAAATTTTCTTTTTCTTTCCTCTCCAGAATAGAGGTTCTTAACTTTTTTGGGTCGTGGATCCCCTTCCCAGAAAAACACACATATAAAACTGTTCTATACAATTTTAAGGGGAACACAACTCTCTGAAAAGCCCATACAAGAACCTCACGTGCAGAAACTGCTCTATACCATGTTGTTGCTTCTTCCATAAAATACATCAGGTATTAGTTGGAAGTCCTAAAACAAGGTAGACTTAATTTGTGTATTAGGTTTTATAAGAGATTCTAAAAATTGGGACAACCAGTTTATGTATAATTTAATCAGTTCGCTCCATATCTTGTTCATTTAGATAAGGCAGCATTAATATTACCTTCAGGAGGTAAATTAGTCGAAATCTCCTGCTTTTTGAAAGAAACAATTTCTAGCAGTAAAAACATATAAGGATATCAATTTACTTATCACAGAAATATAGCACTTTTTCCCCACCTGCTAGGGAGGAAATCTTTTTTCTGAAGTGGCAATCAGGCAATATTAAATGATTCATAAATTATGCCAATTATCTGTTCCAATTGAATCACATAATATATGATCATTCATTATCTGATTCACTTATCAATACAGATGCTAGATAAACTACATAAGGTAACAACTTAAAACAGGGAAATTCACCATCTAGAAACAAGTATAGGAAAGAAAGTGTTGACTACTTTCCTTAGTAGCCACAATGGCTAAGCTTTAGCATCTTCCCATTTTAATACTTTCTAAAGACCAAAGGGTCTCAAAGGAATAGGCAATGTCTACACTAATTAGTCCTTAACCCAAGGGGACTAAGTCTGATCTATCATTCTGCTGAAATCATTCATATCATGGTCATCGATGTCTTAATTACTAAGAAAATGACCCTCAAACTTTGTCCTTAACTCACTGGAGCACTTGATACTATTTATTATCTGTCTATATCACCATCCTTGCGGGATAATCTTGTGGGTGAATGGAGCTGCCAAAAGCTCCAAGAGCAAACCAGGTTTCAGCTTCCAAAATATTATGGGCGTTTTGAATGGAAAAGAACCTCAGAGATTATGTTAGTTCACCTTCCTCACTTACAAATGAGAAGCCAAGGACCCAAGATAAATAGGTATTCCTTCAAAAGGGATTTGGTAAAAAAAAAAAAAAAAAGTCCCAAATGCCACTCACATAATGTGAATGTTCCCTAAGAGAACTATTCCCCTAAATCATAAACTCTGTGAGGTAGGAATTATGTCTGCCTAGTTCACAGTTTCCCTGAGCCCAGAATACTTCCTATCACATAAGAGCTATATATTTATGTGTGTATATATATTTATTAGGTAAATGAATTAGGGTAATTTCTACCTTGTAAACCACTAGCAGGATTCTTTTTTTCCTGGTGAAGAAAATCAGGAAACTCCCTGTATAACCACTATGGTCTATTATCTTTATAGAAATGATAACTCCAAGGTAGGTAAGGCTCCTACTTGAAAAAAGCAGGAGCAAAAAAGGGTATAAAACACAAATACAGCTATAATTAGCAAAGCAAACTCCCTCTGTAACAAAAGGAATAACTGCAGAGGGCAAGGGCTATTTTAAAAATATCTACCATTCTGGTTTATATTTTTCCTTGGGTGGGGTCACTCACCAAAGAGAGCTCTGTCACTCTGTCCAAATATTATTATTACTTATGCCTTACAAATTACATAATATAATATTCAAGGATATAAAGTAGAATTCTGTCAAAGATAGAAAAGGAAAAAAAGACTCAACTGTTCCCTGGATTCTGATAGGGTCAAATAGAAGAACAACCACCAGAAACCAAGAGATCTTACCTCGCTGGAGCCCCAGTCTCTGTAGGGAACTGTCCAGGATTGATTTTATCAGCTCACACCGCATTCCAAATCTGGCTATGAATGACTCACTTTTGTGTCTATAACTGGGCAGTACTGTCTTCATGAGGGAGAGAGTCTTGTGTAGAACAAATAATTCAGGAAATTTTGATTCTGAGTATCAACTCTTCTAAGTTTCCTAGTTCCCTCCATGCTAGCAGGTGAGGGTCCTATCCATTCAGACTATGCAGAAAAACCCTCAAGGAGGATAATACCAATTGTCAAAAACAAACATCTTCCATTGCTCAAGAAAGTATATTCATATGACCATAAAGTTTTTAACCCTATACCGTTGGTAAATCATAAGGGTGCTCATACAATATCTCCTATTGGTGGCAACACTGTACAAGCCATACCTAGTAAGTGTAGTCATGTTTAAGGGCTTCTCTGGGATACAAGAATCCTTCTAGGCGTGAAATCCTCAAGTGCTTCTCTATTTAGAACAAGACAGGTCAAAAAATTAGGGCTTACTGAACTGCTTAACTATTTCAGACACAAGCAGCAACAGATAGTTAAGAGTCAAGACAGCCACATACCACTATTTGCCTAGAACTTCTTCGGCATCCAAATGGGGGAAAAATCAGTTGTTTGGCAAAGAATTAACCTGGATTAGGTTATTTTCATCTGACCTCCTACATCACTTCTGAAGTTGCTACATTAGCATCTCTGTTAAGTCTTTTTCTTAGTAATTCACACCCGGGGGCATCACCTCAAAGTGGTATTCAGATGATATTTAAAATGTTAACTTCTATTAATATGTGAGAACTAAACACTCAAGAGAATTATCTAAAATATTTCTAGGATAGTAGGGGAGAATCATTCATCTGTAAAGGCCTCCCACACCAACATCCCACACTGCACACTAATTGGTCCATAATCAACCATGTCTAACAATTAAAAACTACACATGCAAACACACACACGTGCACACACATTACAAAAATACCTCACACAGCTTTACCATTACAATGTTGTCCTGCTCCCCAAACAAGGGGTACTTTCTACCAGCAATGAGACCAGTGTTTAGAAGGGAAATGGTGCAAAGCAGTTCGCCTCCCCCAAAATGGCCACCTCATTCCTTTCATGTGAACCATGAAAGTTCTGTAGTTATTTTCTAACTAAAAACTACCATCTATTATGCAAAGATAATCTATAATACAAATTCTTTCCATTAGTAAATTTTACATCTTTGGTTGTGACATCTAGACAAAATCATGGAAGAAATAAGGTTATTAGAAATCCTCCATCAAGGTATCCGGGTACAAGCATTAGTCTTGACTTAATTTGGGACGAGATTCAGTCAATTGTTTTAAAAAGGGTAAATACTGGGGATC